GATTCCGGAGGCGGACGAAGCTTCAATTCAACTTCAAAAGCCCGGTTTTTGCGCGAGGGGTCCGACACCGCGTTACTATTCCATTATATTGGAAAGTTAATTAATAAAAACGTCCTTTGATACGGCGACGGAATTTGAAAAATTAAATAAGAGCGCTCGTGCGGCGACTGCCGTAGTCCCAATTAAAAATTCATAGAGAGGATAGGAAAATGCCGGTAGATAACGCTGTTAACTGTAATTTTTAACTTATACAAGGTGATTCACAAATGGTGACCAAAAATGAAGATAAAAGACTCCTCTTAAAATTCACCAAAGAATACGAGGTTTCATTTTTCTGGGCTCGGATCTTATAGCGCCCACCTCTACCCGCCGCCTTTTCGTGATTTTTTCCCGTTTCAATTTGTGCGGTGTAGTTGCGCTCCATCCTCGGCGTTAAATATAAAAAGGACCGGGGCGGCGAAACGCCTGTGTATCAAATTACATTTTGAGAAGTTATTTACGCCGGCTTTGCCCGGAATCCCTCGCGACCTCATCCCTTACAAGCCGCACCGTACACACGGCCGGCCGATATCCCGGACCCCACAACAGCGGACTGCTCCCGGATAGTCCTGGGGTATTACGCTAAATAAATAACGCCAACCGCAACGTAATTTAAAATTATTAATGCAACGTATTATATCATTGGCATAATCCGACGCTTGTACACCTACCGTCGCGCGTCCCCCGGGACGCTTAAGGGCGAGGGTCCGGACTTAATATTGCAGGCGGGGAGCTTACCATTCGAAACGCGTCCTGGTTTTATGTCAGTCGGCGCTATTTTCTCTTTACGTCGGATATATGAATTCATGCTAATGTTATTTGTGTTCCGCGCTCTTTTCGCCTCTTTTTCCGGGAATTCCGGGAAGACGCTCGTGACACCCCGCTTTCCGATATCACGGGATCCTGGTAGAAGAGGTTATCCCTACCGCCGTCGTCACCGTCGGCTGTATTTTTTATGATACATCTGTGCGCCTCGCCTTCAAAGACGTACTAAGTACATTTTCATTTGACCTACTTACATCAAAAAAGGGAAATGCCCGACAAAATTAAGCTTCTCTATTTACATTTTCCGCCGAGGAAAATGCGGTTTTTACTTTAAACTCTCTCATCCGTCCAGGCTAGACAAATTATATAATTTCCGAACGGCAATCCGTCTTTAGTGATTAATGACGTCGCGCCGTTAGCTCCGGTCGAAATGTATCTCCCTTTGTAGCGAATAAAAATGATTAATGCACGTTTTTTGTTTCGCGTCGTGGGCTTAAACGGCATAAAACCAGACCGAAACCGGCCTTTGACGGGGGCGAATTGAATTAAGTGCGGTTTTTATTAGCGCGTCCCGGAAGATTTTTCTTATTTACGCGATATGGGGTATCTGTGTATTCCGAAGTATAAAAAATTGCAAGGTTTGAATAATAACGGCGTCTGGGTGGTACGTACCACTTTAGAGTTTCATTTTAATACATATCGAGATAGAAAACGCAGATATGTCTGTCCGGATAAAAACCAGGTTAATGTAATTACATTTTTATGGCTTGTGTTTTATTATAACATGCCTCTATGGCTTCATTTCTGCTGGCACGCCTTTGTGTCGCAATCTCTACGGTCTTAATGAAATAATTTGGATTGTTCCGAAGACAAAGGAATTTATTCTATATTTGGACGTTTGAATATCGAGTAGGTAATTTGGAAGAAAGTGATAAAAACAGATCCTATTTTCTACGCACTATATTTAGCTTTATCGTTAATCGTACGCGTCAAGGGTGAAATGTTGTCGTAACGACCGTTTTCCTTTCTCACATGTTACTTTGTTTCTCGTATCAATATTTAATCAATCGATATGTCGGGGAAAAAGCTTTGGGAAAGCGCGAGATGTAGTCCTTTACGAACGGATTTTTTTTATTTTCTTTTATTTATTAAGCCCCCTGAGAGATGTAAATGTGGCGTGTTCCTCTCTGCATTATTCAGGACCTTCATAAATGATTACCAGTTGAACATATGCACGAATGGCACTGTGAACCAGAAATCTCCAAACACCCCTGTGTTTCAAATTACAATTCTTTATGAAAGTTCATATTTTCTTACATATAAAATACCTTTAGAAAGAAATTACATTATTAACTTACAAACCATTGCTCTAATAATATTGTTTCTGTTAAACATCTCTGTCGTCGATTAGTGTGATTTCCTTTCGAGAGCCCTCGAAGAACGCTGTCGAGTTAAGGACGTAGATCAAATACGAAGAAGAAACCTATATCTCCCAAAAAAAAAAAAAAAAACGAGTCGCGTGCCACACAGTTTGACGGCATAAGGAGCCGTTCGACTCGGGACGACTAAGTGCTTTTCATTTAACGACCGTCTCGAAGTTGGAAAGCCTGAAATCGATTTCGTCAAATATTTATGTAACAAATGAAAATTGGTAAAAGTTTCCTTGTCCGACAATAGGACTTTCCGATTAATATTTCCCACAGAGGAACTCCAATTCGACGGAAAGTTACTTTATGTCAACAGATGAACCCGGCCCACTGTCATTCTCTCAAATACGGAGTAAAAGAAAAACGTGTATGGCAAGTATCTATAAATAAAGTTTAGTTACTTTGTATGAATAAAGTAATCGCAGAACTATTATGCCCTGCGGCCTATCTACTCTCATTAATTCGTCTCTTAGCAATCGTCAGCAGGAAGTTATGTAAACGATGGTGTATCTAACTGTTTTCCTGTTAAACACAGGGTTCTGCTTCAGGGCCCCTATTATTCGTCGTCTATTTCTTGGCTTTCCACCTCCAGTTTTTCATTTTTCTCGTTATTCTTTTGAATGTCGTCTAATTTCCCAATAAATAAACAAATACTAAGAGCGATGCTTTAAAAAACGTTCTTTCGGCATTTCTACATAACTACAAAGTCCTTAGCGGGCGACGCGGCCAAATATTTGTCCTTCTCGCTGAAAAGTCGGCTGTAAAAATCAATTCGCCAGCCAGTTATCCGACTGGAAGAGGAACAGATCGCACGGTGGCGTGTTTACCCTCAGACGTCTTGCAGGATCTGGCGGAGGCGCCGGGCGTATGTAAATCACCGCGAAGCCGTAAATTATTCACCGCGATTTCCAATATTTTTGCCGGGCATCTCGAAAAAAGAAAAGAAAAAAATTCCCGTTAAGAAATATGTGAGCATCGAGCGTCCGAAGTTATTGTTAAATTAATGTGGGGCGTAATGCTCTTTGGCGCGTATGAATAGGTGAATTATTCATAAGGCCCGAAATTGGTATCTGAAGTATGCATAAACTTTAGGAAATCCGCGAGTTTACGACTGCGGAGCCTTATATACAGGCGTCGATGTCGAAATTACAGCCCAGCCGGTGTAATATGCAACAAACCACGTGACCAGTTATTTTGTTGTTGTTTAAAAGAGTATTTTTATCTCTTCCCTTTCTCATTTTCTTTTAAATCATTTTTCACAGCCAAGAAAATTATAACAGTATTTAATAAAAAAGAAGTCTATATTAAAATTGTTATAAATCCCTTATTTATTATTAAATATTTATTTAGGAAATTTGGCATAAAACCGATTTAGGGGATGCTGAATTCAGTGCCGTAGTTAGATTTGAAATTAAAAAATCGCTAAACAGTTTCTGTAAAAATTGACAGTGAAAACAAATTGGAAGTAGGCCTTGAGCAAGAAAACAAATTTTAATATTTTGTCCAGAGTAGAGTTTTTACTGCTCCATTTTTCAGAAAAAAACCCGAAATAAATCTGATAATAAATACCAATTTCCTAGGCCTGTTTCCATTTGAAATGGGTCACTCTGTATATTTCAAACCAATCGATTGTTTTCACAGCTAAGCTTTTTATATTTTAATCCAAAATATTTTTTTAGACCCGTATAATCGGCAGAACAATAATTATAGAATTGTAATATGTATAATAAAAATTCCTAATATTGATTCTGTCATTCTAGGACGCTATAATTTCTCATATTAATATCATTTTATTGAAATGGAATATGATAAACAAAAAAAAGTAATTACTCAATTTATTAACTTTTATCGATACAACATTTTATTTAGAAGCCATATTTTTACTCTTTACAATATAAAGAATATTGTTAGAAAATAATGAAAATTTCTGTACTGTCTATTTTAAGTGTGTGATCACGAAAAAATACATCGGTTTTTATTCCAACACTAAAATTATCATTTTACATTACAAAAATGCCATACGTTAATAAAAACCGGAGATTTTTATTTATTGTACGTACTTTAAAAAACTGGTGTGCAAAATTTCTCTCATTAAAAATAAATTAAAATGTAAATATCTCTTCGTACACATGAAGACAAAATAAATGATGATTTTATTTCTAAAGCACTCGATGTAAATAAAGTTTATCAGAAAAAAAAGTGTTACTTTTCCTAAAATAACAGGCCCTTAGCAGTGTATGCTTCTATTTCGAGGTACCAAATTTCAAGTCTCTATCTCGCGTAAGAAAGATGTTACGGAACATTATTTTAAACAGGAATTTCCATTTTGTTCAGCATATTTTGGGAACGACAGGAAACATGTCAGATCTGTTTTCTTTTTCTTATTTATACCACCATTCTATGCCTTTCCCGACGCTATAAGTGGAAGGAACATTAATGTTACGTTTAAACGAATATTTAACAGAAACAAAATAAGAATTTGTAACAATTTTTAGCCTTACAGGAAGCGGAAAGTGAATAAAACGATTACTATCCGATCCAGCCCAGCAGCGCAGCCGTCGACGCTGTACAATTAGGAACTTTTTTTTGTAATTCTAACACAACTTAATGAGGCGACGCTTCCGGGTGCGATACCGCCCCCCAATTACGAGATCCCCTCAAATTTTCACACTGTGAAAAACCGGGAGATTAAATTTGCGCCGGGAGGTCCGGAACCTCCCGTCTCTGCCGCTTCTGGATATTGACCTTTGCTGTTGATTTTGTTTCCAGGTTGTTCAAACTGAGGCTCTACCCGGACAAGGAAGTGTTTGCCGACGATATTCGATTCGAATCGACAAGGGGCCTAATCAGCTTCGATCCGGGCATCGCTTACGCCGGAACCCTCGAAGGTGAGTGAATCCAACATATTTTCAATGAATGCTTCTTCATAAGTTCCGTCGGGAACTTTCGAAACGCCCCGCCCCGATCGCCGCAATCAGACTAGAACATACCCAACCGGTTCCATTATGTCACAATTTGCACGGTAGTTAGGGACTAGTTACTCAGTAGGCCTTGTATATGGCTTCCGATCAAGGCCGCCTTGACACAGAACAGATGTACTTAGTCGGAATCGCGCCACTGTCAACTTTTCAGAAGTTTGTAATGGGGCAATCGAGCGCACGAAGTTGTCTCCACTGTGAGGTCTGCTTCCAATTTGCTCTACTCTAATTGGTTGATTTATCGGCGGGGTAAATAGTGCTCTAAATAAAGGACGTGTCGCTTAAAGTGGACTTGTAAAATGGAGCAATTTCTTCTTCGTGAATTCTTTATGTAAAGTTTATGTAACAAACATTTATGGCTGCTAGTTGTATTATGGATTCCTCGAGTTCATCGTTCCCTAACATAATGACTTATTAACTTTTTCATTATCCACGCTGCCCCCTTTTATATAATTTTAATTATCTGTCGCTTTGAATCGTCCTACTCTTACAATTAATAACGCTATATAAAAATGAATTGTAGTCGGCGGTATTTCATTAAAAAACAAATTAATGCGAAAACATATTTACTCGCTCGCCGACCATCGCGTAATGAAGACAGAGGCAGTTTGGCGTACCCGAAATCGTTTGTTATCGACTTTCCTTCTAGTCCTGCGCCAGCACAAACGTAAATGTCGAAATATAAGCCACAAAAGTTTCCAAAGACTGGTTTATTTTTGCTTGTTATTGTTTTTGCCCTCTTCATCATTATCGGGCGCAGAAATAAAGTTAATAACAGAAATATTACTGTCAGTTTCCAAGCCAAGCATCATAGACAAATATAAATACCGGTCAGAGGACTTAATCTCCAATTTCAGAGTTCCCTCGATCTAAACCAGCTCGGAAATTATTTAACCGTGTCCCAAAGGGGGTTATTACAGACAGAAACGCTTTGCATCCCTCTCTTAAACGACACACACTTAGAATTAATCAACGTGCCCGCCTCGTGTCCTCATCGATCCACCCCCCCCCCATCATCCCCCATCGTTCATCCGCCACTCGTACACAAAGCCACATTAGATGCACGGCAGTAGTCGCTTCCACGGTACACATTACATTAATTGCTTTGTTTTATAATGACTTTAATCTACTGAACGCTCCCCAGGAATTGCTCCTTTGTGTACAGTTTCGACGTCGATATAAGTCACAGGATGGCGGGGATTAAATTATCAATTAGAGGGATGGCGTTCGGCTACGGGGCGGACCAAAGAAACTGCAGGGAGAAAGTCGTATAACCGTATGAGCGTTGCGAACTTCGATAACCAAATTTTTATACCTCTCGAGATTCCCAATCCGTATTAAAATTGTCATAAATACTTGACACTGTTTCCAAAAAATCCAATTTGTTTACTTCGCTATGCACCCAACCACCGTCCTAAGACGAGATTCAAGAACAAGTGACAAGTAAATTAAAGCGTATCCTGCACCATCTTCGAAGCGTTCGAAGTTCGACTCGGTAGATAAATGGAAAACGTACCATAGATAAGGGTCGCGGCAACTCTTATAAGTCTTGCACTGCTAAATTTTATGAATCAAATTCATCCGTAAATTTCTTACTGTACTTTGTTTCTTTGTTGAATTTTTCTAGTCCGGACTTACTTCTTCTTGCTGGCGTTCTTCCAAGCACGCTCTCTTATAATCTTATTTCCGACTGTTATAAAATAAGGGCCAATCCCCGGGGTAAAAGGGACACCCTGTAATACGTAAATAGAGCCACCTCCCCCACCGTAATTGCTCCCAATCGCTTGTTCAGAAATTGTTGGTCATCAATAACGGTCGACAACCATTAGCCGGAAACCTGGAAGTCGTTAGCGGGAGTTGCGAAGGCGTTAAGCTGGCTCGCTTCTTCCGAGGAACCGTCAACTTTCTTTTTTCCCCGGACGCCGTAACGCCTTCTCGACCGGCCTCGGAAGAAGTCCAAGGTGTAAAGTTGCAGACAATTTCGATAAATCGCACAAAATAAACTTAACGTTTAACTTAATAAAATGGGATTTTCTTTAAGATAATTAGTTGTTGTTCAAAACAATCACATACATTCTTTATACTTTTTTTAACAGCTTGCATAAAGATACTTCAAGTAACAGTTACAAAGTAGCAGTTACCTACTAAGAATTATGTTGTGCCAGTATGTTTGTATCTGAAGATTTTACGATTAATTTTCCGAAATAGCATTTCATTTCAGATCTTTTTGGAACACCTGTATAATTATTATCGGTTACTTGTGAATCTCATTTTTCGTCTATAAGAACCCTTCATATATCCGCCATCTTCCGCCTTTTCATCCACTTTGAGGGTATTAGATATTGGCAGTTTAATAATTCGAGGTATTATTTTGCAAGGCTGGTCGACATTTTGGGAATTGTGTAATTGCAATAGTTCTTATGGGATTCCACGTGACGTGCTGTCTATATCGAGGAGGAAAGCCAATTATCTCGACCCAAATTTTGTCGGGATTTGCTCAAAAATAGCGTAAAACCTCCCAATACTTTCGGATAGATCCGATTTTTATGAAAATTTGGAATTAAGTTTATTCCACCCTGTAGATGAAAAGTTATATATGCTTGATATGCGCTTCTTATTTTTAAGAGAAGAAAACCACCCTTTATGCTAAAAAACTGAATAAATATAAAAATAGGTATAAAATCATATATAGAATAAATATTGTTTTATGTTGTGGATTATAATTTACGTTATTTTTATAAAGTTTCAGCCCTTAAAAACTACCCTTAATGATAAAAATATAAAATTAATAGTTTCTTTGACTTTGAAATATTTTTGTAGCGCATAGATAGAAATCTTTTCAATAGTTTACTTTATGGTATTAAAACTACCCCTTAGGGTGGCCCAAAAAAAACGAATATTTTTTTCTTCGTGTCTCTTGTGAACATATTATGTTAGTTTATCATGTTCTAAAAGCCCCCTCAAAAAATCAGCTCAAAACGATTTTTTTATAGAGGTCGCTCAAGATTTTTAAAAATTTCCAAAATCGTCAAAAAATTATTTTTTTTCTGGTTATTTTATCATTTTCTAGGTTGAAAAAAATATCGATTCTGAAAATTTCAAGTCGATATTTTAATTTCTAAAGGTCACTCATAATTATTTTAACTTTCAAACCTAAAATGTTTTCGAGCGACTTCTAAAAATAAATATCAACGAACTAATAATTTTTTTTATCGAATTTGAAGAACAAAATAATAGAAATAAANTTTTATTTTGATCATAATTTTGTTAATTTTTATACTAATAACTTAAAGTTAAGTTCATTTTAAAGATTTTTTTTAGTTATTTCACGTTAAATGCTTCCAATTTAGTTTCTGGTTGACATGAAATTATCTACAACCAGCTTATCTCGGCACGTATTGCACTTACATAAATGAAAAAAAACTCAATCTTTTTTTTTTCTATAAGTTTTCTATGTTTTCTTTTCATAGAAAGTCTATTTTCCGAGTTATTCGAGAAAAACAACTGAAAAACGTCTTTTTTTAATAAAGAATGTACATTTTCAATCACCTATTTATTTACTTATCGAAAATTGTTCATAAGATATAAGATACTTTTTGCTTAAAATTGATTGCTTTATCGATTCCTGCGGTTATTTTCAATATTTTATTTTTCACGGCTTAGAAGGGGTGGTTTCCACCCCCTGGATAAAAGCGCTCATCGGCACCATATAACTTTTGTTTCTTGAGCTATTTTTTACTTAAAGTCCAAGTTTCTTCGGAGGTGAAACCCTTGGTTCCCTGGTTATATCCTAGTTTTGCATTTCTAGTAATTATTGTGAATTGTGGACGTTGCGCATTTGTTTTTTTAATACCTGATTTTTTAATGTTGTTTCGTTGGTTTTGCTTGTTATCTATTGGAAGTATTCCTATTTCAAACTTAAGTCATACACTGTTGTTTGGTACAACGTAATTCTGCGACATCCAACAGTCCTGGGATATTTTTCTCGCCCCCCGCGCCNACACTTAAATTTTAAAAAAATTAAAATATTATAAATAAAATATATAAACAAAGATAAATAATTTATGTGGACCGTATTTAGTAATAGTTGTATAACTCAGTGCGGTAGTAAATTTTGCCTCAAGACATTTTTTAACTGTCTAGTCATTTATTTCTATACTTTTGTTCATCAAATTCAATAAAAAGTTATTAGTTCGTTGATATTTATTTTTAGAGATCGCTCGAAAACATTTTAGGTAGGTACACTACTTTCAAAGTTAAAATAATTGTGAGTGACCTTTAGAAATTAAAATATCGATTAGAAATTTTCAGAATCGAGAATTTTTTCAACCTAGAAAATGATAAAATAACGATAAAAATTTTTTTTAAAAAAAATCAATTTTTGACGATTTTGGAAATTTTTAAAAATCTTGAGCGACGTCTAAAAAATTATATTTGAGCTCATTTTTTGAGGGGACTTTAAAAAATGACAAAACTAACATATTTTCACAAGAGACACGAAAAAAAATATTCGTTTTTTTTTTGGGCCACCCTACTACCCCTAATAACAAAATATTAAAAAAAATAGTTTTTAACAGTTTGAAATGATTTAATAGTACAAATAGGATAAATTAAATTTGTTTACCTGTTTATAATAGATACAATTTATAATTTGTCGCACTGTCTTAACCCTTAAAAACCACCCCCAATGACAGAATAAAAAAAAGGCTTTTAAATTATTTAAAATGAATTATAATGCCCTCCTATAGTGCTTATCAGATCACTGGGTTTCTGAAAAATCACCCTTCAATATAAAAATAAAAACAATTTTATACATTTAAACTTGATAAGTAGAATTATTAAAAGGTTAAAGGGAAAAAGTGAAGGTTATATGTATATAGAATGCTCCAAAATTGTGGATAACCAAAATA